AAAAAAAAAAAAAAAAATCAGCAACGTTATGAAACACATAAAATGAAATTACACAATAATGCATTCTAAGCAATATTTCAGGCAACTTATAAGTTATAATCAGTTCTTGAAAATTAATTGTAAACAGCTTCTCATATTAATTTAACTTTTAGGTAATTGCAGCAGAAAAGGGCAGATTATATAAAAAATAATAAAAAATAAAAAAATAAAAATAAAAAAAAATGAACCAAGCCATTCAAGAAAAACAGTCACCACTGGCACACAGCCATCTCTCTCTTTACAAAATTTCAGCCACATCAGCCTGACTTCCAATTAATAATAATAATTTTCATTGTTCGACTGTTTCAACCTGAGGTCCAAAATTTTTTTTACACCTCAGCAAAAGAACATGGATCCTGCAACATCTTTGTGGAGCTTTGGCAGCTGGGGAACAGGAACACTTTGTCCAGAAGGTGTTTCGGACGAGTCTTCGAATTTGAGAAATTGTCTCGTTTGTTGGGCTGCAAGATGTGCATAACTTACTGGTGCAACTGCAAAAAAATACAGCAATATTGAGTACATATAAGGATAACAACACTAAAACTTGGAGTTTTAGTCTGTCTCACTTTTACGGTCACACGCTTTCAGACAGTAAATTGTAAGACAATACAAGCTTCAAGTGGGGTTTTTTTTCGTTCCTTTGTGTTCTTATAATAATAAGAGATGCACAAATTCATACGTGTGCGGCTTAACAAAAAATTGTACTTATGCAATGAAATATCAAAATTTTATTTGTTGTTTTCAATAGTGTATGAATTTATGGATGAGAGTAACTTGAATCAATTAATAGAAAACGGTAAGAAAGTTGATAGTTGATACAATACCTATAGAGGTGGCAGCAGTGCTCCTCTGGCATCTGAAAAAAGGGTAAAAAAAGAAGAAGATAAAGATGAGAAAAAAAAAAAAATAGACATGCTGGCAAAAGTGCAAAACCATAATGTGTAAGATAGGGGCAAGAGAAAGCAATAAAAAGTGCGAAGTCTTACACATATGAAAGTGAATGGATCAGATTCTGCAGTTCATCAGGTGAGAAACCAATTTCATCGACCAAGACATGATAATGGGTGGGTCGAGAAGTTCCCTGTGATCCAAAATTTTAAATTTGACGAACAATTTGGTGACCAGTGACTTTTGTTAAGGTACTTTACGAGGAAAATGTCTCCATTTTAGTTCGCAAGAGAACAAATTAATGAATATCACGTATTATAAAACTGATGTCTTGTGCAAGGGGAATCGATAAAGAATACATGCTTAATGGCCGTGCAACAGAATTGGACATGAGGAGCACAATACTTGACTTATCACATAATGGAATCATATGAATAAACTAATTAGGTATGACAAAATAAGACTTACAATCATCCCTGCGTGAGTACACATATAGAAATCATAATTTTTAGGATGAACAACGTTTGTGTCCACAACGGTACCTGCAAGAGAGAGAGAGAGAGAGAGAGAGAGAGATTATCATTTGTTTTTGTCGTCTTTTGCATAAACTTGAGTTAGAATGAATCAATCATGAGAGGCACACCAGATGGGACGTTTTCTGAAGCTGAAGCTTGGAATAGCCTGGTATGATGATTCTTCTGAGTTATTATCACAGTGAACTTTGGAACATCCGGCTCACCAAGATATTGATAGGCCTGTGATAGTAAACTTCAGCAGTCTCATAGTACAGCAGGCTCATTTGCTCAAAGATCGATTTCAATGTCATTATAATATAACCACAACAGGAATGAATAACATTAGAACTTTTTTCCACATAAGTCAACATAACTGTTTCCATGATTGAACAGAAATGATATATGATGCCTCAAAGAAAAAATCAAAGTGGTGGCCTAAAGCTCAAAATGCTGTCTGAAGACTAGGAAGTGGAAAGCTACCTTGATGATTTGCTCGAGCTCGATGTCCAAAACCTGAGCAAACTGTGACTCACTCACGCCATCCCTGAGAGAAAGTATGCAGCCATCAATGATCAAGCATTGTAAATTTGTTTCTTTAATATTATGTTCCTTAAAGAAATGGAAGATTCGTTACTCCCCTATTTACAATAAATCGAACTATAGTTAGTCACAACAGTTCAACTTGGACAATGATCGACCAGACCTCAGCAAAGATACACTACGACAGATACGAATCCCAGCTATATAAATGCACCCAACAACTGAAGAATTTAAAAGTTAATTTTGCATGTGCAAAAAAGTGGCAAAGAACCAAAAACACCACATATCTCAGAATAAATAATTTGAATTGGATACCGATAAAAAAAATAATAATAATTATTTGAAATAGGAAGCTAAATCACCTGAAAATAATAATTTGGGTTGGTTTACATTTGTTACTGGTCTTATAAAAATCCAGAAGCAGTTCCCTGAAGCATAACAGCCGGCACTTTCTCAGCATCAATGGGACTCGAAATTTTTCACACAAAACCATATTAGTGAACTGCAAATTGAAATATATACACGGTGAAGCACCTCATAATTCCATCATCATCTCCATCCTCCATCGGCTTGAACAAAGCCTCTATCATCTTCACCTTCGAGGATTGAGTTCTTACAGATGCTCTGTACCTAGATATATATGGCCAACTTCGAGAAGCCACAACCTAACAGTAAATATATATCAATAAAGCAATCTAAGAATTAAGCATGAATTAAAATATTTCTGGTAATACTGCAGAAAGTTCTACAAGCAGCAGACATACAGCAGCAATTGATGGAATATCATATCTACCGGGGGAACAGTGTGAGACGTTCATTCCCAATATCATGGTCGGCTGATCCATAACAAGTGGAATACCATGGGGATGCTCTATTGCTAGCAATGAGTTGGTTCCCCCTAGCTATAAAACAAAAATGAGGTATAAAGTTACAAAAGTTTTTGAACGAAATTTAATCTTCTGAAGTTTTAAGCCAAGTTACCTTGGTATTGATTTTGAGTAGCACATTTGTTAGGTATTGGTCGTTGATCTTGGAAGGAGAAATGCATTGGTTGGGAATACCCAAGCTAGTCAGACACTTTTTCTTCCAGGGACCTACATGGTCAACCATATTCAGTAATCAACAATATAGGGCAAATGATTACTTGGTTAAAAGGGTTCCAAAAGGTGGATAGCAAATTTACTACCATAAATATTAGAATTTTTCCTCTCTGGCAGAACACAGAGCAGAAACTCAGGGGGGCCGGGTAGCTTGGCTATAATCTGCTCAAACATTTGTTCTACGCGTATCACGGGGCTAGATTTTCTACACTGGTGATCCTCCTCGAATATTGTATAAGGACGCTCAATATGCTGCATATAGAAAATAATATACATAAAATATGCATATGTAAAGAAAATAGAAGGAGAATGTAATTCACCGTACAATGCCCTTGTTCCTCCCACAGTTGATGAGTTCCCGAGAAAGATGGCTGGTGTCACAACGTGCAGAGAAATTGACAAGCGCCCAATGATTTATCTGGATAGGGTTCAAAAGTTTCTGCAAAAATGATCAAAACAGACCACGGATTGTGAAAAAAAGAAAAAAAAAAAAAAA